CGATGATTGCCGGAACGCATTCGTGAGGTAAACACCCACTTACGGCGGGAGTTTCTCCGGCGGCACTTTGGCTTTAGCTGCGACCTCTGTTACCGTCCATGGTTCGAGAAGAACCACTGTGTTAAACGCATTGCGAAACACATATCGCCGCTAAATAAACTTATTCATCTCCGTGACAATGCGAGGCGCAATGTGCGGCATGTGCTATACGCTGTTATAAACAATTTGGTAAACTGATGCCAAATGTGTTTTAGGGGCAAAGCCCTAAAAGTTGTTGGTCTGTCTATTCCTTGTTTGTATTGTAGGCTTTTATTATGCGCTTCATCTTTATCTGGACACCAGTCACTCATCTTCACTTGCTTTGGCTGACAGTCATCATCGCCTTCGAACCTGCGCTTCATCTTTGTGTTCATTGAGCTTGTTCGCTCCCGAAATCACGACCAATAAACCTCGTTACAACCAAGTTGTCATGCGTGGTGGAGGTGGAGTGACGATCGCCGGTCCTCTCCTCGAATGACTAATCACTTTAGCTTCGTTCAGGCTGCCGTTTGGACCCTCAGTCTTCCAACATGTCTCAGAGTGAGTGCGTGGACCCCTTTCTGCTCCCATCCCTACAACGCAAGCCCCTTCTCTTTATTACATCGTCAACCACCAGTGTGAACCTCCGATCTTTGCTGGTCTCCGCGGTGAAGATATGGAGGAATGGCATAATAACTGCAAGCGAATAAGCGCAGTTAATCACTTAGACGACTTTAACAAGCTACGCCGAGTCTCGCTTTACCTCATGTGTGTTGCCAAGGCGTGGTTCTTGAACCATGAGATTGACTTCGCTGACTGGCCTGACTTCAAGTGGCAGCTTTGCCAAGTATTCAGTACACTTGCCGTTCTATCCGCTCTCACGAAGAGGACGCTAGATACTCGCCAACAAGTTCCCGGTGATTCGTATACCTCTTAGATCGAGTATGTCCTTGCGCTAAGCCGGCGCGTCAATTCTTCGATGTCCGAGTCGGATAATTTGCGTAACATCCTGAAGGACATCGGAAGCATTGCATAAATGCCCTTGTTGTTCAGAATTTTTGCACTGTCACTGACATCCTCCCTACGTGTCAGCATTTTGATGAACCTGATTTTGTTCGCCAGAAGTCGAGCAAAAGCAAACACCGTCTAGCAGGCTGGGACCTGTTTGACAAAATACGGGAGATAATACGCGAAAAACTCCAATCCTTAGGTTTCTCACCATCTTCTACATCTGTCAGACAGCCTTCAGGTATGGCCTTTCGTGACATCATAAGAAAGGAGCTAACAACATTCACCAGCCCAGCACACGTACAGCCACCTCCGTCCAGCCCGCCAACGTACGCGCTAGTCGCGGCCACCCCTCCTCGCACCGGGAACTCTACGATGCCACTGCCATTGTTTGTGTCGGTTGCAGCTGCTCCACCGGTACACTTCCGGTCAATGCTGCCCAACTCTTCATCTGCCCACCTGAGTGTGCTAGCTCCCGGCACGCCGAACGCCCTCTACTACCCGTCTTGCCACCCTTCTCGCCCAACATGCTTTTACTGGGAATACGGCGACCATATACAACTCCTCTGCCACAAGCGCCAGCAACACGAGCATAAGAAATACGACATACGCGAATGGCACCTTTAAAGTGGGGATTCTTACGCCTGGCGTTATTCTACTGAACAGCAGCGGTTGCCATCTCCGCCCGCATCGACTGAGATGCGAAAAACTTACCGTTCAAACTGACACCGATCGCCTTCGCTCTTTTATCGCTCCTCCTCTCATCTTCGGCCAGTCTTGATTACCACTGACAACCACTTGGAAAACTAAGAGATGCAGTTTTAGGAGAAGAAACTCCATGTAACAGTAGAACTGATATTCCTTCAGCACGTCTATTCAACATCGTTTCTGTTATGGTAGAAGGAGTTCGCGTAGATGCTTTGGTGGACAGTGGTGCTACAGTTTCTGTGATCAGATATGACTTGTACAAATGCCTAAAAAAGTAATAACACGTTATAATGGACCCACTCTATTTGAAGCCCAGGGTAATACTATCCGCACTTTTGCTCTTTGTACTGCCTCTCACCAGCTAATTCTAGGGTGGGACTTCCTATCTTCTCTATCGAATGTCACATGTTGTGGCGAACGGATTCTGCACCTTACTAATATACACTCCATGCCCGATGAAGTCGTCTACACGCCGTATACATGTTCGCTCCCGAAGACCTTGAACTACCGCCACATGAAGAGCGGATTGCGACCCTGACTTCTAAGGACATCGGCCACGGGGACATATTGATGTCACCTTTGTCAACATGCATCGCTAAAGGCATCGTCCTTGCGTATTGCTTGGTGCGCTTTCACCATGGCTCCGCGATGGTCATTGCTACGAATGTAACATCGGTGAAAGTTCTCCCTCCAGATGGCACTGCAGTAGCCTGTGTTGTAGGTGCCGAGCTTCTCAGCATCACGCCACTTAAACCTGCCTCTACCAATAAATCTTTAACAAGTAAGCCTGGTTCTTCCTCTCCCTTCACAGCCCTTATCAATGATGACCTAACAACTGTGCAGGCGCAGCAGTTGCTTGTTTTGTTAACAAAACACGCCGTTTTTTGACGTCTGCTCCTCGACGTTGGGTCGAACTACCACTGCAGTGCATCGCATTCAAAGCGAAGCAACATCTATTGTGCATCGCTGCCCATACCGTGTGTCTCCACGCGCTTTTGCGTCGAGTACCGGGCAATTACCAAAATCACACGCAAGGACGTATACCCCATGCCACGCATCAACGATGTCCTTGATTCACTGCCAGGTGCCGAATGCTTTTCAAGCCTTCATTTGCGTTCGGGTTATTGGTGAATCTCCATCCACGGTGACGATAAAGAAAAAAACGCCATTTGCAACGCCCGATAGCGCATACAAATTTATTGCGATTCCTTTCGGGCTCTGCAATGCGCCTGCGACGCTTGAACGCACGACTGACACCGTCCTGCGTGGTCTGAAATGGAAGACCTGTCTCTGCTATCTTGATAACATTATCAACTTTTCATCAACATTTTCTCAGCACATGAGATCCTTGAATGACGTCTTAACATGCTTCGCCAGCGCATGTCAGCTGCTCAACACCAAGAAATGCTGTTTCGCCCCCAAATTCATCGAGGTTTTCGGTCATGTCGTGAGCAAGCATGGAATTCGCCCAGACGCCGAAAGAATCCCTGCTGCTCTTCACTTCCTAGCGGCAAAAGGCCTAAAGATCTGCGAGGTTTTCTCGGCCTACGACTCGGTTGTAACGAGGTTTATTGGTCGTGAACTCGGGAATGAACAAGCGCAACGTACCCGAAGATGAAGTGCACGTTCGAAGACGATGATGACTGTCAGCCAGAACAGGCGATGATTATTGACGACTGTCCAATAATAGATGCCTACATACGCACATAACATCTATAGTTCCGTATTTGCCAATTGTTTGCTACATGGTCTATGCGAAAATTCTACAACGCCCCACCGCCTATACACCACTTTACCGACCATAAACGAAATCCTGAAAAAAAGTAGGTAATATGAAATGCAAGATTGAGGTGTACTTGTATCCAAGTGCGCTTTAAAGAGCCGTAGATTGTCCTATGATGTCCATCTTTTGTTTGTACGTGACCGCTTGTAGTTACACCTTTGTAACCTACACACTACTACGTCCTTGCAAACATTGCAATACGCCCCTTCACTGATCCACCACTCCACCGACCGTAAAGCCGTTGGGATGAAGGGGGCACGAAGTAACGCATAGCTGGCACATGCGAATAATAAAATTTCTTGTATAAACATACACAGTGTTTGTTACGTCTTTTATAATGTAGTGGGCAATATTCGCCGATGGCTCTTGGTTTCGCGATGAAATCCTCTAGCGCTTCGCCTCTCTCATCATCATGCACTCTGTGGAAATTCTGTGGTTTTTTTAAAGCAAATAAAAAGCACGAATATCTAATCAATAATTGCGAAATGATTGAGTGCTACCTCGGGTTGAACCCACTACTAACACAGGAACCGCACCTTTCAGCTTCCGCTGTTTACCTATTTTTACAGAGTGCTTTGGCGGTAGTTTTTTATTGCGATAGCAAATATATGGACACTCTTGGCTGGATTTCGCCACCGGCGTTGGCGTCAATGTCATGCACCGTGTATGTATACGTATCTATATATATGAAAACGCAAAAAAGAAAAACGTCCTCCCCCCCCCCAAAAAAAAGACTCCGCTAGAGCGAAATCGAACGTGGTTTCTTCGCGTCGTGAATGTGAGGCGTTAACTGCTGAGCCGCAGAGAGGTACCTCCTTCACCACTCAAGCGGCAAGATATTCACTTCTACCATTTACCGCTGTTGGCAGGCATCTCATGGGGGGGGGGGGGGGAGGGCACTATCGCTTTTAGCATTATCAGCAAGCTGGCGCAGTGAGCGTGCGGCGGCTCTCACCTCTCACGCGTACTTTGGCCCGCGTGGAGGATGAGCGGGTGCAGGCTCGATCACGCACCTTTGTCTTGGAGTGGGGAGAATCGTACGTCTTTGCCAGCCTTTGAGTTTCATCGGAACAATTATGTTGCATTTCCCGAGGCACAAAAGTCACTGCTAGCATTGCAAAACCTCCATTTGCGTAAAGGGCGCGCTTTCAGACACAGCGAAGTAACAACTGAGACGCTTATTCGCGTTCATCTGTACCTATGAGTACGTTTCGTGCGTCCTTTGTGCGTGAGAAACGCGGGGAACGTTTCGATGGGCTTTCCATTTTGCACGTGACCTTCCGATTTGTTGCTCTCGCGTTCATTGCTTCGCGTTTGCGGAACATCTGTGACTTTTTGTGCTTAAATTCACAAAATTATTGTTTTTGTAGCCAATAAATGCACACACTTCAGAGTGCATATGTACTAAAACACGTTTCAATTATTTTTGCATGCCTTTGATCTCTATATATAGTCTCTAATCGAAGGTACGAATGCTACGCACCGAGTGATGTGCATGTTCGCCACCAAAGCGTAATGAGATATCTCCATTGCCTTGGCTTGACCCGTCGTCCCGGAGGAGTAAAATAAAGCGAGCGTGGTCTCCTTAGGATATTCAATGGGCACCTCCTTGAAATCCTCGTCGTTCAGTTGAGCGAAAGTGGACACACACACAAATCCAGGAACGGGGTCGCCAATAACAAAGAGACCCTGAAATACACAGCGAGTGTACTGAGTAAGAGTTCGCAAACGTACTTATGAATAAGGTGCAAGTATATCTGCAGGCAGCCGTACATGCATGAAACGAGTTCTTGGGCGAGTTGGTTCACACTAAGAGAAAAAAAGGACACCACGAGAAGACGTAGTTCTAATAACCTAGCCGTTAGAAAAGGCTAAGGACTATGCGTCTGACCTCGCTGCAAGTTTTCATGAAGGTGGTAGGGTGAGCAGCGGGTGAGGAGGGTGTCTTCTACGCTCTGTGACGGGAACGACTGAATGAGTGAGTGTTAGTGGCGCGCAGCGCAGCGCGAGCCATCTGCCGGGAGCGTGCACCTGATGTTACGCTTGCACATGGCCTCCGAGGTTTCGGGTAACCCACGCGGCCACTATCTCAGAGGCCATGGCTCAGAGCACTCGACGATGCTAGCGGCGACGGTGAAGAGCAGGCCTGATGAGCCCAGCTCCTAAAATAGACGCACAGATGCACCTACGTACCTATTAGCCGTTCTTAGTGTTGCGCCTTGTTACACTTGTTTCGAATGCACTTTGGCCGCCCATTGCTGCATTATGCGGCGTAGGCGCCGTCGTACCCGTCAAAGCGAATGGGGATGAAAAAAAGCCAACGCGGACAGAAGCGGAAAATGAAAGGGGGAGGCGGCGAGAAGACCACGATGACAATGGGAGGCAGTGGCGAGCCTATAGAGCTTAATAAATTTAACTAGAGGAGCTTTGGCACTTCGATCGTTCAGTGACCATTGCAATTATGAGTAGTACACGAATATACCTAGTCTTCGTTTTTGCGGGCTTCAAACGCAATTGCGGCTTTGTTTATTGCTGTGGTTTTTTTTTCGAATGAAAGAACGGAGAATAAAGAATTTCATGAGCCGATTTAATTTAGTGAAGGCTAATGTGGCTGAATTGCAACCGCTGTACATTTGCTGCTTGTTATTGCGTGACAAAGCAGCTTCAAGCCACGCGAAGCCAAACGAAGAAGGAAGTTTGAAGATTAGACAGATTCGTGTACTACCCATCACTCCCATTTTCGCTGAAGCGATGTGCATTGTATCTCAAATAGACCATGGCGCCAGAGGTCCCTGTAGTGCATCCATAGGTAGCTCTATGGGAGAGACCACAGGTCTCGTGGCAGAGCAGATGCGTGTGCTGTCGGTAGGCACGATGACGTAATAACTAAGTTAAGCACCGAGAGTGTTCATTGAAAGCATATATGAAAATACTGTGTTTCGACATCTTTTGTCGAACGTGCTGCACTCGATGCTCTCCCATAGAAGTTGCACCCCGCTTACTAAGGCTCAGCATGTTCTGATTCTTCGCGGGGGTCGTATAAATCTTTCATATTTTTTACAACGACTGCATGTTATGAATTCACAAAAAGGGCGTATTTTGGAGGCATATTTGTCCACCTCCGCTGGTGTCTGCAATTGTCATTACGCGCTGAACAATTGATAAACACGGATGAAAAAAAAATGGCATTCGAACATGTGGGCTCTCTGCATAGGAGGCGCGTACTACTGTTCTTGGGACTCCGTTGCAAAGCGACTGCTTTTAGCCTTTGTAAAGAGTGAGAAATTGCGCTGATGTTGCGTAATAAAGCGTTTTTGAGCAGGAAAGTAACAACTAGGTGTCACACAGCGAGAATTCCGTAAGGGGTGGGTCGCTAAATGCTTCAACTCATTACGAAAGCACCAGCATAATTCTTAGTCGTCAGCCAAAGCAACATTATAGCGTCCATAACGCTTTACAAATGTGTAGCGGGTACTACGCTTCTCAGAAACAATATGAATAATGGGATAGTGTGGACATGCCTATTGACAAAATTGATTACTTATGGCGTAGTGGCAGCCATGGAAATGTGTTAGTAGTATAGTTGCCCCCAGGCTTTTACAGTGAAAACTGGTATGAAAACCGGGCGTGGCCTCTTTTACAGGAACACAGGCCACGCCCGGCGCCGTATTTGTTCGCCGCCGCCAGCACCGGTGTCCGTCACCACGTCGCAGGATAAAAAAAAATATTATATAGGACACAGTCAGGCCCCAACCCCCGCTGCGTTGCAGCCCAGTATTTTAACACTGTGCGATACCGGTGAGTGGGACTTGTTCGCAAACTTGCTTTAGGCAGGCCCGATGTCGGGAAAGTAATCGCGTTAATATGCGCAATAAAGTGCTTTAGAACAGCAAAATAACAACAGGCGTCACATGATGCGAATCGCGTTACAAGTGAATTGTTCAGTGCTCCAATCAATTACAAAAACTTGCTCTTGATCACTTTTTATCAGTCGCACATACCAAATTTAAGCATAATTTCTCATCGTTTTCAGCCACTGCATGAACAATTGGCACAAAACTCCTTGCAAATGTTTAGTGGATACCACACTTCTCAGATGCATAGCGAATGACAGCCTACTACCCAGAAATTATTATAAATAGTGCCGTAGTGGGTACCCAGCAAGTGTGCTTGCAGCAGTTAACCAATGATTGTTGAGAAAAAGCCGTGAATTATCGCTGTTCAGGCTTTTTTTGTGACTGTGCAGCGCCTTCCACGCAGGCCTGGCGCTTTTGAAAGGGCTCTAAGAAGACCGCTCTTCTAGCTTTTACTGTGACTGTGCCACGCTTCGTGCAGACCTAAAGGTTTTCTTTTTCTAGACTTGTTTTTGCCAGCTTACCCATCTAAACGCCTCTTCATATTCGCGCAAATACTTCGCCGCCGATCGGCGTGTGTTACACCAGCAAAATAAATGAAAGATTCTTAAGTTTGATCTTCGTTTATGTATACATGTCTTCAAGATAAACTGCATTCTGACGCTGACGATGTTCATAAATTCTCAGTAATTGCCTGAATGAATAATTAGCAAGATAAGCTTTAATCTGCGTAGAGTAGCATACGTCTAGTGTAACAACTTCAAAATTTAGGTGCACTCGGTGTAATAAAGGACTCCTTGTAATGCTGTCTCGTCCAGATGGAAAAAGCGCTGGGTTACCTAAGCAGCTTTTATTAAGCACACGAACTAAGCTCATGAGCCTATTGTTCCGAATACGTCGCTAAAAACAAAAAAAAGAAACACTGTCAGGCCTGCACGCATTGCGCAGCACAGCCGTAGCGAAAGCTGCAATCGCGGCCTGTCAGAGCCTTTATTAAAGGGGCCCTAGAACACTTTTTGAGCATGGTCAGAAAATGCTCTCGATCGGTCGCAGAGGCTCCCGACAACAGCGAGTCAAATATACAGCACATCACTTGGCCTGGAATTAGCAAAAAAATTATCAGAGTCAGCTCAATATTGCTTTCTCTTCTCGCGACGAATCACGGAATATGACCGATAATCACACGTGAATTACCAATCTATCAGCCATTCACTGATTTGAACGTGGCGCGTTCGCTCGTTACGGAGATCACCACGGGAGGCCGCTACTTGTCCACGCGTGCATGCGCGATTACACTGAGAGCGGCGCCCTCAAAGAAAAAAAAACAAAAAAGTGATCAGGGGCACGAGGCCCGTGTGACGTTTTTCTGTGGCCCTGCCATCATTCCCTGCTTAGCATCCAGCACTTTGTTCGGGACGAGAGAAGAGAAAATGCAATTGCAGCATGCGACAAACCTCTGTACCTCCACTCGCACTTGACGGATTCTTAAAATTTTTGTGGCGTTGAATTCGTGAGGCAATAAGCTCTTTCAGCTAACTCATTCTATGGTTACTTTAACAAGTGTTTCAGGGCCTCTTTGAGACATCTTAGGTGACTGCTTCAACCACACTTGCAGTTTAACGCACTACGCTATTATTCATCATAATTTTGGTGTAGTAGGTTGGTTGGTTGGTTGGTTCCTCAACACCTTAGCGCAACCCATCAAGGGGGGATAGGCCATGAATTGGACGGTGCCTTGCTTTTTAAAGAAATTCACTTCTTGAAAGGGATATTTGGATTACTTAGGTAATATAGGTAATAATTTAATGTTCTTAGATTTCTAAACAAACATAAAGAACCTTGAAAAGAAAAACAAAATTAACACACAAAAAATAAAAAAGAATATACAAAAAACAACTGGAGTAATCTATTTTGAGCATTTTATTCTTTTAGATTGTGCAAAAAGTTTGTAACAGCGGTAAAAGCGCTCCTCTGGCTGAAACGAAATGCGACTGCGCCAAATGAAAAAATCACCGAAACTGCCAAGTTTAAGTTTTTCAAAGCGTGCTGCTGTGATATATTCCGAAGTAGGCAGAATAGGTAAAAAAGGACCATCAAGAGAAGACACAGCTAGTGCATCTGCATGCTCGTTGAGAGCTAAACCTCACTGGCCTGGTACCCAAACTAGTCGAACGAGTCGCACATGTCTAGGAATGAGCAAGTAGAAAACGTCTAAGGTACGCGAAAAAGTTGGTGAGCTTAAGGCAGTACAGACCGAGAGACAGTCTGTTAGAACAATCATCGCTGGTAGATCTTGGGGCACTTTACGCAATGCTATGACTATTGCCAGTAGCTCAGGTTGGTAAATAGGGGTGAAGTTGGGTAATCAAATTGAGAAAGCCCAATCTAGAGAGGATGATACGATTCCTACGCCAGCCTTCTCTTGATCAACAGAAGAGTCGGTCGCTATCACAATGGATGCTTCTAGATTGGCCAGATCAACTCCCAAAATGCCATTTATATACTGCTATGTAAATTGTTGTCATTTTTGGGATATATATCAATAAATTCAGTCCAAGTTGCACCTACAGTGTTCAGTACAAGTAATTCCCAAAGGTTAGCTTCTAAGGGGTCCAAAATTTTCTGTGAGGGAGGCGTTCACTATGTCATTCTTCGTTGATTTTCGAAGAAGCGTGGAATCCGCTACACACTTGCAAGCAACTGTTCGATTTTTGGTGATGTGGCGGACAATGATGACAAAACATACCTTAAGCAATGAATTAGTTCTCAAACGTTTTAGAACCTTTGCTGTTCTACAACGCTCTATTACCTAGGTATACAAAGGTCATTTCTTTCCCGAAATCAAGCCTGCCTAAAGTCAGTTGGAAGTTTCAAGCACTGTCGGGGTTCTGTGGTAGAATATTGGGCGGGAACGCAGGAGACCCGATATGATTCTCATTGTTTCCTTGGTATTTCTTAATTACTCGTTGTTTTTTTTGCGTGATTGTGGTTGCAGACACCGGTGGGGTAGCAGCGGCAGACAACTACGGCACTCATGTCCCTTGCTGTAGTATCATAAAAGTTTTTTTGCTGAGAAACATTATGAGCACTAGTCAGCCACTTCACACAACCGTTAAACAAGCCATTTGTGCCATATGACGGTAGTCGAGTCATCAAATGTTCTTGAGCATCCGCCTTTGATGTGGCTGTTAGCAAGTTTTGAAACGGTATATTTTTAGGTGGCGAAGAAATAGTTCTGAAGCACCCAAGATACAGATGAAATTCTGAAATCGTTTTTCTAGCAAAAATAATTCCAAGTTTCGTTTGTATGAAGAAATTTCGGCATTTCGGCTGTGCCTATTCTGGGAAAAGTATCACTCAATCCGGATATACAGCAACGTTTCGAGAGTACTTTCAGGAACAGTTATTCAACTGCACTTTAACAAGCCAGCAGGTATGCCTGTTAGGCGTAATGCTGTTTAAAATAATCTACAGCGCCCCCTCTCAACCTACACCTTTAAATATGCCTTTTTAACGAAAATGACGGCTATGAATTCACGCTTACGGTACGAATTCACAGGCTCCACAGAAGCGTTCTAATTCAGATTTAGTCATCTTAAAACATTCCCGTAATTCATAACTCTTGTGCGTTCTAACCATCATACCTTAACATTCGTTTTCTTCTTCACTGCAGTTATTTTACTTGCGTATTGTGGCGTGGTCAAAATGTGAGTTGCGTCTCCATAGCCCACTTGGAAGACCAGGTCATCTGCAGAGGGCAAAAATGTGAGCAAAAAGTATATCATTGCAGTCATTATAACAACAAGAATCTAAGGGAGCTATAGTCTATGCGTCGATCTTACATACTGTCTCAAACCTCACCATTGGTGAGATCGGTCATACGGGCGTCACAAGTTCTTGAGGAAATGGGTAGTTGTTCAGAGAATTCGACTGGTTGCTTTGGCTTCTGCGAAATAACGACTCGCACACTGAGCTAATGCCGCCATATCTGCCGATGTGGCAGTGGCTGCTCAGAGATATTCTTGCTATTTGAGGGCAGGCCAAGAGAGAGAGAGAGAGAATAAATATTTAATAATAACACATGCACACTGAGCCTTCTTTGGGTGGGGCCCTCAGTACAGGGCTTCATTGCCTTGCGCGACCCTGCGAGCCCACTGGACCAGCTGCTGCTGTTCCTGCCGGCGTAAGCTGAGCAGTGCAGACTCCCAATAGGAAGGGGTGGGATTGGGAATGGGAGGAACACACTGTGGGGCAGAGCATTCCCACGTGGAGTGGTACGCCGTCGGTACGGATCCACAGAAGGGGCAGTAGGGGGGTAGAGAGTCGCATGAAGGCGATTTAGCATAAAAAGGCAAGGAAATGAATTGGTCTGTAGTTGCCGCCAAGCGACAGCATCTGCTCTGTTAAGTGAAGAATGAGGAGGAGGATATGTATAATGGCTCTGTCCGTAGTACTCCAGCGTAGCGTTGTAGTTTAGTGGTTCTGTCGATGCGTCGTCTGAATTGGACAGCTCTTCCAATGCAGCCCGGCTGGTCAGCTCTCGGGCAACCGCATGCACGCGTTCATTACTATGGAGAGAGGCGTGTCCAGGAGTCCAGACGATACGCACAGGACGTAATGCGGTTGGTGAGACAGAAGAGAGGATATTGTGTGTATGTGGAGCCACAAATCCTTGAGCGAAAGCACGGCAAGCAGCTTGTGAATATGTTACAATAGTGACAGGGAAGTCATGTGACAGTGTCGTAGCGTGAACGATTGCCAGAGCGAGAGCTCCCTCCTCTGCCAGACCACTGTCTGTAGTGCGAAGTGTGGCAGACGCAACAAGGGCGTCTGTGTCATCTGTCACGGCTAAACACATGGCTGACTTCTCTGGGTAGCGTGCTGCATCAGTGTAAAGTACTTGTGAGTCTGAGGTACCATCACCAAAGACGCGTGTCACAGCCTGAACTTGGGCACGTCGACGACTGGCGTGGCGGGAGGGAGTCATATTGCGTGGAATCGGAGGCACTTTGATGAGTGCGCGGACCGTAGAAGCAAGTTTATGTCGCGGTACTTGTGCGGGTTTTTTGGGAATCGGGTAGCCAAGACGATACAGGATGGCGCAGCCCCGACGGGTCTGCCTGAGCCGTTGGAGCTGACTGTTGTGCTGGGCCTCGATGAGTTCGGTTACGGTGTTGTGGACTCCTAATTGAAGGAGGCGTTGTGTAGATGCGTGTGGAGGCAAGCCGAGAGCCGCCTTCACAGCTGTCCGTGTAAGGATGTCCATCATTTTGATTTGAGCTAGCGTAAGATTGTGAAAGGGAATATGATAGGTCAGCCGACTAACTATGTGTGCTTGTACTAAGCGGAGGACATCCTTCTCACAGAGGCCTCTCCTGCGATTGGTTATGCGTTGGGTCATGTGTGTAATTTGGGTTATCTGCTGAGCCAGAAGGTGTGTAGTGTGCGAGGCCTTGCCGTCGGACTGAAGGTAGAGGCCTAAAATGCGAATTCGTGGTACCAGAGGGACAGGACGACCATAAAAAAAACAGCGAAATATCAGGAGAGTCAGCGGTTTTGCGGCGCCGCATGTATACCAATATTAATTCCGACTTATCCACTGAGCACGTAAGGCTGCCGGCAGCAGCATAGTCTTGTACCACTGACACAGCTTCCTGTAGGCGTCCTGAATGGTTCCGTCTGATTCTTTGGTTGCCCAAATTGTAATGTCATCTGCATGGATGGCTTGCTGGATCTTGGGAACCTGTTGTGTAGGGAAGGCAGTTTAGCCATAGCCACGTTGAACAAAGTGGGTGAGAGAACCGCGCCCTGTGGTGTTCCTCTCCCTGCAAGACGAATGACGTCCGAACGGAGGTCTCCAATCCCAATAGTTGCCGTGTGGTCAGAAAGAAAGGACCTGACGTAATTGTTGATGTGTGAGCCACACTGAAATGAAGCGAGATTGTCAAGAATAAGGTCGTGGAAGACGTTGTCAAAAGCACCCTTGAGATCCAAGGCCAGAATAGCTTGGACCTAGTTTGAAGTGGGGCTGTCCAACACGTCCTCCTTAAGTTGTAATAATACGTCCTGTGTAGAGATACCAAAATGGTAGCCGAATAGTGTATCAGGAAAAAAGTGATTGCCTTCGACAAATGGTTGTAGTCGAGAGAGGACAACGCTTTCAAAGAGTTTAGCTACACATGAAGTTAAAGATATAGAACGAATATTCTGGAGGGATAGCGGCTTGCCACGCTTTCGAATAAATATGATTTCTGCGTGTCGCCACTCCTGTGGTAGCGTGCCGTTGTTCCAATGTTCGTTGTAAAAAGCGGTTAAATATTCGACGGACTGGTCATCTAAATTACGCAGAAGTGTGTACGTAATCCCGTCTGTACCGGGTGATGTGTTACGCTTAATGCTTTGCAAAGCTGCCCTAACCTCTGCTTCTGTAATGTCCTCATCTGAAGGCGTATCGTGTACGTGTGGCTAATCACGGTAGGCGGGACGGGGGCCCGTGGATACATAGTGTTGCTTTAAGGTGTGCAGCAGAGTGGTATCGTCGAGCCTTGATTTGTGGAGAATAGTGCGGATTGCGTTAGCAGTCTCTGATTTTGTCTGCGTGGGCTTTAAAAAGAGCACGGAGCATACGCCACGTTCGAGGTGTACTTAGTGAGCCGTTGAGTCGATCACAGAAGTTCTGCCAATTGCTGCTAGTGAGAATGTTCGCATAGTCATGTGCCTCAGTGGCTAGTTGGACGATTCGGAGACGAAGTTTTCGATTATGCTTCTGTCGCCGCCACCGCCGTGTCGAGCCTCTGTGGGCATCCCAGAGATGCAGCAGATGCCGGTCCACATCCGGTGTTTCTGTCGTCGCAGCGATGAGTTTGGTAGCTCTTTGAAGTTCGGACTGAAGTTGTAATATCCAAGCCTCTAGGGAAGAAGAGTCCTGATGGGTAGTTGTACGATTACGCCTAAATGCATCCCAACTTGTTAGTTTTATGATGCGCTCTGGGGCACGCGTGGCTGCTACTTGGAGCTCTGTAGTTAGTATATGGTGATCACTGCCTAGATTCACCATGAGGTTGGACCAGAAAATGCGACTAATCCCCTTGACTATCGCGAGGTCGGGGCATGTGTCCCTGCTCACACTATTACCTAGGCGAGTGGGTTTATCAGGTTCTTTCAGCAGGGTCATGCGATGAATCGCGAGAACCTGTGCGAGTCGTCAGCCTTTAGGCGTTTCTGTTGCGTAGCCCGAAGCCGGATGGGGGGCATTCAAATCTCCTACAATAATTATGTGTTTACCCAACTTGCATAGTTGTGGAAATAGATGGCCGAAGTCATCGTTCCTGGCGTTAGGTGCACTGTAAACGTTAAGCACGTACAGGCTGCTACTCGAACGAGAGCACGGGACTAATTCGAGAAGTACGTGTGAGATGGAGGTGCTTTGAAGGGTGTGTTCTATGATAGTGATATGCTTAAAAACTAATGTAGCTGTGTGATGTGGTGTTGTGTTCGTTACGTATGTGTATGTGGTGTAACCCGGAAGCGTAGGAGTACATTGTACTTCTTGTAACGCTAAGACATCGGGAGAAATCCGCTGTGTCGCAATGAATTGCATTAGATCTCCGCGTTTCCTACGATACCCTTTGCAATTCCACTGCCACACACGTAGGAGTTTAGGGGTGTCACGCAATCACCTACGGTTTCTCGCCATGATAATGCCATAGTGGGGCCTCGGTAATACACGCAGGCATTTCAGACTGTGCTAAATTTTGGTGGAGGGTGGTGGGAAGTGGGACTGCATCAGCTGGGGCTGTTGGGACGGTTTTTTGGGACGGTAATAGGAAACGGGAGGGGCGTATGTAAGGATGTGGTCACTGTGTTTCATGTGTCGGAGACGTGGTGCGTTTTGGTGCAGATGGCGTATTATTAGGTTGGCCAAGTGAAGCCGATATCTGCTGTTTAACATCCGTTACAATCTTCTGGGCAGCAGGTTGCAGGGCCTGCTGGATCAATTGTTGGAGTGGAGCTGTTAGTTCAGCCTTAATGCGATCCTTTCTTTTCTGCATTTCTACCTGCATCATAGATGCGAATTCCTTCCTTAAAGAAGTAGCCATTTTGTTCAACGCCTTTCGTGTGCAATAGTTGGATCGTGCCGTAGTTGACGGCATGCCAGGGTGAAGCTGAGTGTCTACTGACATGGGTTGTGGTTGTCTTGGTGGCGTTGGTTGTGGTGTTTTTTGCTGCGTTGATGTTTGTGTGAGGAAGTGGGACTGGTGTGGAGAGAGAGGGAGAGAAGGGAACTGCCCTGCTCAGCTCACCGTTTGTGCTTTCTTGTGGGAACCGCTTTGCTGGCCATCATGATGCGTTGTCCCGTCCGTGTGCCAGCCTTGAGATCCCGGCTGGCCAGCGAAACCGCTCCGCGATGACGAGTTTCCTTGCTTGGGCCCCTACTTATCCCTGGAATGGCTCCTTCGCCTGGCTGCACTCCCGGACGCACTGCTCTGCCATCCGGAGCTGGGAGATGGTGACTGGGCCTTCATGGTGGGAGTAGCCGACCGAAGTGGTTTGCGTCGGTTGAATAGTGGCAAAAACCGCTTTGGGCATGGTTTGGCAGCTGTCGGGTGGTCGCCACCACAAAGCATGCAAGAAGGGTGGCACTCGTGGTTGTTAGGAGATAGTAAACCCCCGCACACTCGACATCTCGGTGTGTCAGGAGGCTGTGGGCACACCTCGCGGTGCCCTGTTTTGTGGCACTTTTTACAGTGGGGAATAGTCCATTTGTAGAGGTAGCAGCGAAGAGCCTGCCCGTACGCAATGGCGAAGAAAGGGACTCGCTTGCCACAAAATGTGAGCAACATTGCTCCGGAGTCGCCGAGGCGTCTGCACGTAAGGACCTCGTAGCCCGGTACTTCAACTTCTGTCAGGAAGTCGTCTGGTGTGATTTCACGGCGTATTCCGTTGACCACACCTTTGCACGAAATATCAGGCGCAATACCATAAGAGGTGATGTCGTAGGTTGCTGCGTGCACTGTAATTTTGGTGATTTCTCCAAGTGCAGTGGCGATGTGTTCAGACGAGGTGCTTATTGTTAGCACATTTTGTTTTTAATCAACAGCAAGCTTGATATCAGGCTTCTCACTGCGTATATTTGCTGCATGAGCTACGGCGAGAAGTAACTTCTTGGGGCTAACCTTGCTCAGATTTAATCCACCATGGGGACGGATTGCTAGCTTGTAGTCCTCGGCAGGGAGCGGTGGGAGTCTTGGTAGATGGAGTCTTGGTAGACGCGACTTAGGCCGGCTATGGCGTAGAGCGGGCTCAGACGGCGTGCTGGGCAGCGTTTGAGTCGTTATGGTATGGGGTTGCAGCTGTCGGCGTTTGTTTGCTCTCTTGGTAACAGTGATCCATGGATGTGCGTTGTGCTCATTGCTCGCCTGCGTATCGGCGTCTTGACTGGTCTGCGTATCCATCATGCGGTCCATGGAGCGAGAGGGCAATGAGTGCTTCTCGTCGGCTACGACGCTCCCAGAGACGCTCGCCATCCGCTGTTGAGCGGGGCGGTGTTCTGCTCAAGCCGCGTCTCCGGCTTGTTAGGGTTAGCGGGGTGGACGTCTTCAAGAACTTTTGAAAGCGTTAAGACGTTTAAAAGCGCACTCACACGTTGAAGTCTGGTATAGGCTTGACAGTGGTGAGGATAGGAACAAGTTCCTATCAATGCAACAGGTCGCCAGGAAGAAATTCTTCTTGAAAATGAACCTAAGCCGGAGCTGATGTGATTCGCGTCCGTCGCATGCTCTCCTGAACGGCGAAACGCGCGGGAAGGCCAAATAGTGGTGGTCAACGGTCAGACTATGACGGTGATTAGTCAGATTGTAGTAGTCGACGGAATTGATTATAAAGTCTTTTTCTGTACTGGCAGCAGTCCGGGTGGTGGTGGTGCTAGTCACTCTTTATTTCCAAGCCAAGACAATTTTAGGGTCCGCGACTCTGACAGCTGTGACTTGGGGTGGTATTTGTCTTTGGCAAAAAGTTTGAGAGGTGTGTACCGACGCGGAATCCGAGAGGTGAACCACGAGGCCTACCTTACAGCCTAGATCTGTGTATCTCGAGTGGTGCTCCACCAAGAGGTCACTTGAGGCGTTATACAGAAGGAATAGTTCTCTGCGCGTGCGTCTTCAGTGCGGCGCCTTTCAAGAGCACCGACTTTGCTAGTGTTCGCTTTGTGCGTTATAGCTGAGTCAGATTCCGACAGAATATGAGGCTTGAAGTAGTGAACTTCAAAAACCCCTAGCCAGTTTTGTACTCGGTTGTAGTCTAGTTGAACTGGGTGGAGACAGAGAGGTGGTAGGGAATCCAGCAAAACGCAGCGATGAATTTGCAAATCCAGTCTGCACTTCACTACCGCTGCACGCCTTCATACCGATACCACACCGCGGCACAATTTCGAAGGTCTTGTATGGCCATGAACCATTTCAATGTTTCCGTGCAGGCCTCGCGAGCTCCCATAACGTTCACGGTCACCACCCAGTAGTCATTATTGCTCTCAAAAGACGGGCAACTCCGGCATTTCGCAGGTGGCTTGAGATGATGGGTTCGTAGCTGACAAGACAGAAAACGCAACCGCGAAACAGCCCAGCTTTTGTGAAAGGTTTATGAGGGCGCATCAAAATTATCGACACTTCTCGAGTAAGCTGGCTTCAAGGTCTCGCGGCTCCATCCAACATGGCGTTGGTGGCGCTCAGTGCCGGCAAGATTTCAGGAAACAGAGCAGAGCTCGACGCTGTGGAGGCGTAAACTGTGACTCGGAGTCCCGCGATGGTACGGAAAAGCTCGGCGGCACTTAACGAAGTACCGCATGCTGCGGCAGTGGTGACGTGTGAGCTTGTCCGGGGGAGCTTCGACAGCTCATTTAGGTCGCTCAAATAACAGCCGGCTATTGATCGAGACGGTGTCCCAATGGAAAGCGTGAATGGCACTCCAGGTGCGCAGTAGCCCATGTGTGTTCTTGTCCCCAGCCTGGTGGCTGTAATGTCGCACTTTGGCGTGGCATGGAAGGTGTGGACGCCGTCCACTGATGCTGTGATGGCCAGCTGAAGCGGTGGTCACATTGATGAGTCTATTGCGAAGAAAGCATGGGCGGCGTTCCTTTTAGCTGAACGAGCCCAGCAGTCAAGACCTACGACTTAAGGTTAAGGTTCCCCGACCTTTTGCAACTGCGCCATTTTAGTTAGAAGTACAAAGACAGCATCTGCTCCTTGTCCGGCTGTTATAATATGTACTTTCTTCTTCTTCTTCTCGCACTACCTTATTCTAAGACCAACTGTCTCAAGGTTATCACAATCCATATATTTCTGGCTGTGCTGTAAACACTTTTTTGTTGCCTCATGCCTTTATAATCAGCCGCATTTTAACGTCGTTAGCAACGCAGTTCTTCCGTATGTATCTGGAAAGTGTACCAAATAGATAATAATCCTCGGTGCAGACTGCTGAAAAAAACGAAATGAAGACTTTGACAGAATACTTTCACCATGTGTTTTTCTTACCATGCTCTGTTGTCAAGAAAGTAAAAAAATTAAATTAATTTTGGTACATTTAAAGTCCCCAGTATTGAATTTTTTTAAGACGTTGTTGCTCGTGCACTTGAAGTTTTTCTATCCTATCTTGAATTAAGACTCATAATTTAATCATTAACATGTGTGATTTAGCCTACGAAAACCCCCATACGATTATAAGAGATGCCAACGTAGAGGGCTCCAGAAATTTCAACTCTCTGGTGTTCTTTTACGTGCAGCCAAATCTGAGTACACGGGCCTAGAGTATCTTGAGTTTAACGCATGAAAAGCAAGAATTAGGAATGCCATGTCCCCAGAACCAACGAGTTGTGTTGTATGCGCCGTAAATAAACACTCCGAATATTCAAGTTGGCAGGAGATAAGATTAGTAGACTGTTTCAAACGCAGTCGTTACTATCATACTGAACATCGCTCGAAGGCCACTTCATGTCATGCTGAGTGCCAATTTGCACTGAAAAGCCGCAGCCGATAAACAACACGTTGCACGGTGTTTTGTCACCACCGAGGTTAAATAGGCGCAGCTGAAAGCGTCAAAAGCTCCAGTAATACTTCATGCGTTTCGTTACAGTGGCACTATTTGTAGATTGAAGTAAAAAAATTAAATTATTTCTAAGCCGACAGAGAAGCGCCCAAATGCTCCAGATGTTATCGCTACCTAAAGATGGTTGGAATCTTAGGCGGCAAAGTGAGTAAAGTAAATCTTGCGTCATGCTCACCTTCGTTGAGAATGGGGTTGGAAAGCAACACCGAAGCTCCCGTGAAAGTGATGCTGAACAGGGCAACCATGTTTTCGACGCTGTTGTCCAGGTGGACGCACACGCGGTCACCGAGCCCGATACCTTGTGCCTGAAAACCCGCAGCGAATCTCCGCAAGTGAGAAAACAGCTCCGCACGTGTCAGGTGCATCTTCTCGTCCATCTGTAACAGTCGCGATGACTTTTTATTTGTTACAAATATCAATGTATTCACTGCCTTTTATATTCAAGAGTGCCATTACTTTATGGGCGTGATAGGGTGCAACAAAAGAATCTAACAGGACTATTAGGAAGCAGGAGGTATTTCTTGATATATTGACCCATTATGAAATAGTTCGGTCAGTGAACGCGTTTCCAACCTTCCTAATTATTAGTAAACACTCACAAATTTTCATGAAGTTTACCTTTGGGTCGGTTCTAACTACTTATAGCTCAGAAATAGAAATTACAGTGAAGCTAGTAACAACGACCAAGACTGAGTAAATTTCACAAGCAGCCCAAATGGCCTCGTTTATTGTGTATATTTGCAAATTATGTGAACTAGGAACTACTTCTACATCGTTTTCACTGAATGAATCTTCTAAAAACATAGTCACACTTCGGGGCAGTCGATATTCTTGAATAAATTCAACGCTACAACCTTTCATAAGTAACATGGTAAAAAAATAGAATGCATGCTCTTTGTTGGTAATATTATTATTATCATTATTATTATTATTATTATTATTATTATTATTATTATTATTATTTGATTAGCATACAGAGATACACAACAAACCAGAGAAAAAAGGGAGAAAGCAAGCTGGCAACTGCCACGTGGAGGGGCACAACGCCTGCTCACTCTTTCGGGAGGAGGGGAGAAAGAGGAAAAAAAGGTGAGAAAGAGAAAAAATAACAAAGACTTTGACGAGTATCAGAAGAAAAAAAAACATAAATAAAAATAACAAAGAAGACCGTCTATAAATAGGTGGCCAGGTCCGTTTGGTTCATAAGTGTAAGGAGAGCTTGGTGGGCCTGGACCCCCGCCGCGGTGGTCTAGTCGCAAAGGTACTCGGCTGCTGACCCGCTGGTCGCGGGATCAAATCCTGGCTGCGGCAGCTGCATTTCCGATGGAGGCGAAAATGTTGTAGGCCCGTGTGCTCAGATTTGGGTGCACGTTAAAAAACCCCAGGTGGTCTAAATTCCCGGAGCCCTTCACTACGGCGTCTTTCATAATCATATGGTGGTTTTGGGACGTTAAACCCCACATATCAATCAATCAATTGGTGGGCCTGGTCGCGTCGAGAAGCACAACCACTCGGAAAGAGGCAGTAGTCTAGAGTCACGCACTAAAGTCCTAGGAATTTATATTCCTTAATCGGCGAAACCACTGCGTACCACAGGCTCTTTAGGTGATGCTAAATAAAGCACACTTTTTCTAATCCCATTTCTCAGGTTGTGTATTCTACTGCGCCTTTCTTTTAAGATTACCCAGGCCTACGGGAAATCTTTTTCTCCTGATTCACTGAATAGCTGCAGATTTGAATAGAATATGCTAAATCTCTAAGCCCTTGTTGCTGAAACAAAATTTTTCTTCTTCATCGCGTATAGAACATGCACATGGGCTTAGCCAGGGGGGGGGGGGGGGGGGGCTGCACCCTTTAAACCTAATTTTTCAGTTTTGCTTGCGCATATATACATGGACCCATAGAAACGCAAGCGCGGACATACGAAAGTGTCTTTTAGCCCCTTCTTTTCCCCCCCTCCGTAAAAATGCCCTGGCTATGCTTCATCACATGCGCTACAAATATCAATTGAAGCAGTGCCGAAGAGCGGTTACTTTTTCATTAATTGACAGTTATGCGATATTTTGTTCAGCGTTACGCTCCAAGCAGCTCATCTACACTTCACAAAACACAAAATATTTCACCTGTTTTTTTAAATTCCACAGATGAATGATACGGTAAGTTGTCATTACAGTTTTTGACGTTTGCTCAAGAGTTTGTTTCCCGTCTAACCTCCTATACACAAAAACGGGCACCCCACCATGCACGTAGAAGTTGAAGCAAAGTATATGCGCATGAACGAATACTTCGGTGGCGTTCAGTAGCCCTTTGTGAAGCGGAATTTTCCATGTTGAAGACACGCAACAGTTCGGCGGTTGCTCCATCAATCTGTTTGCACCACGACCAGGCTCGGGGCGCTTCCAATTTTTCCGGCGACCGTAACGTGCCTAGCGCGAAGTTACTCGTGATACCCTCAATTTCTTATCCATGAGACACGCTAGCTTTCGGATGCCTCAAAAGAGGAGAAAAAGTCTCAATACTGACTACACCGCTCACATGACCATTGACGGGAGCAGAAATTACCACATTAAGGTCACCCTAAGACTACAGTGGCATAGCAGAGGTAGGCACCTACGTAACGGTGGCCTAGGCTATTCGTGTGGTATATAAAAAATCGCCGTACATCCAAATTGGCTCATTGTTCTCGCTCTAGCAGTGTTGCTTGCAACGCTTCGAGCCACGCTATGTTTCATTAACTACCAAAGCACGCAACGATGGACAATCTTCTGCGACTGCAAGGTGGCATTGTAGCCACTTCTGTCAAATCTACGCCGTGGTCCACACAAGCAGATGGTATTTGAGACGGCAGAAATGCTACGCCATATAACAGAAAAGGGCACCACGTTATATTTAGGTCGTTGCCAAGTCACTGTGAAATTATTGCTAATGAACGGGCTGATGAAGCTGCCCGTTCAGCCCATACAAGAAGACCACGACCAGTCAAAGCCTCTCTCTAAGACGGGCGCTGCTAGGAAGCTCCGCATGCTTGCTCGACAATTGGTCTTGTTGCTTTGAAATAAGCCTCTTTTTATGCATTCAAGATTACGATCCTTGGATTCTACATTAAGCTTACGGCTTTCAACATAACTGCGACGAGGTGACGCTACTGCTTGGTGCAAACTATGCTTGGGTGTCGCGTCTGCCTATTCGTACGCGTTACGCATAAAGAGATGGCTGACATCGCCACCGGCGCACACTGCTGAGGTGAGGAGACAATTTGACACTTCCTGTGTGACCGCCGAGAATAAAAACTAGAAAAACAATGCCTTTTTAATACACTAAACAAGTCAAATGACTAGCCGCTGTCAGAAGAAAGTTTGCTGCGCCATCGTCATGACACATCACCACTGAAGAAGGCCGTGCATGCGCTACTGGGCTTCTTGCAAACTACTGGCCTGTCGGAACGCCTTCGAGTAGATTTATCTAGCGTTCTTGTGTGTCCGTGTTTTGCTCCTATTGATATTGTTATTATCACACTCTCTTTCTTTCAACCCCCTATTTCCCAAGCCCAGTGTAGGGTAACCTACCGGATACTAGCATCTGGTCAACCTCCCTGCCTTCCTTTGTTCTTGTTTCTCTCATACCTGATAAAACCCATATTTTCTCTAATGGAAGTTAGACAGAACCGTAGTTTCGGATGACTAGTTTATAAATAAGTATCGCTATAACACAAAAACTGATGTTTATTTTTGTTCATGTATTTCGTGAGTACAACATCCATAGATGTTCTTACAGAACTGGAAAGCATTAGCTAGTACCCATCATATTTGAAAGGGAAACTGAAGATAAGTATTGGATAAGGCTATACTGATAATTGGAACTGTGCAAACTTCAATGCTCATATTCACGGTGATAAGTTTATTCTTACAAGTAAAAATCAAGCTTCAAGCTTCACCTATAAATTTCGCCCTCATATCTCTTCGTGTTTGGTCACGGATGTCAAATTGTAATATTTGAACTTTGGGCCTCTGGCTCAACAAAAGCTCTCCAACCTAGTATTTTAGGTGCATGGCTACCCACGTCAAGAAACAATGTGATTCACTTATACCCGATTAAGATCTACGTAAGCACTGTATACACCGTCAAAATATTTTACGTTATGGAGAATGTTGCGCGAATGGGCACGGCCACCCAGGATTAGTTCTTGCGCAATTTCTTGGATACCAAGTGTATTTTCGCAAGAAGCATAGCCTCTTTTAACAGTCGAAGAGGAATTTATGATTATGAGATAAATTCTCTTGCTCTTTACTATCTCTTTAGGCTGATGATTCAACAATACATAGCATAAGCATGGATCAACCCGTATAATTCATTCGGATTGCTCGACAGAGCATTCCTAGACTGATCATAAACATGCAGACATGCAGAATATTTTACAAATGCTAAACAACTGAAGTGTATGTATTTGGATGGACTAAGTAAAAACAGACTGATGAGACAGGCAGCACTAAAAAAAGTTTGTTTTTCTTCTCCACTGGTAATGTAATAAGGCTCGAAAAGTGGTGCTTTTGCAGCGCATATTTTCCTGTTACCGCAAAATATTTAGAAACACTTGTCCTATTTCAAATTATTCCTGTTGGCGGGTCTGTGAACATTGTTCTTATTAGTTGTGTGCTAATTTTCTGGCTTGTCATCATAGAAAAACAGGAGTACAACGAAGACTGCGACAATTGTCATCAATTTTGCAAGGTAGAAACACTGTGAAAAATACCCTGAATAGAGGGTACATAGGTAACTAAAGTGTATCACCAGTGCTACTCGTTCCGGTGAGGCCTTCAAGAATTCCTTTAACGCTTTGTAGACGGAGCACTCCGGTATGTCGACTTTCGGGTGCGGAGAGTACACAATGCCGTTTTCGATTGCTGCCTTCATGTTTGCATTACAGTTGGTCTCTTTCGCCGAAAGACACCTTTAAACCAATTCTGAAGACGTGATGAACCTGAAAAGAAAGAACAAAACATTAACATGCTTATTCGGTCATATCGCCACCTTGTCTATCAGACGCAAGTAGAAGACATGGTGTCATAGTTACACACCACGTTTTTTACTTCCAGCGTAGACGTGTTTCAAAGTTTGCCGTCTCCGATGGCTTTAGGAACAAGTTAACCTCAAAATACATCATTACCGTGAGTTTGTTATTGTTACCTTGGTGATGGTTACTTTTCGCGTTTTGTAAGACTATTGTAGAACTGTGTCAACAGCGCTTGACGAGAATTGGTTTTGTGCAAACGGGGTGAGTCCGCAAGCGCACTGCTGAAAGTGCCGCCTAGTTACTGATAACAAAAACGTGAAGGCACGTGCTATTATGACTTTCTCGGCAGCAGGCTACATGTAGGGGCCTGAGCTGGGTATATTGACAAAACACGCACCTTTGATCAATTCAAGCATTAAATACTGTGGTATGAATTGTGGTAATCCATGCACTAAATGGCATATTCATACGTGTCTAAGGTTACGTACTACTTCTCTTTAATGGCTCAAGATTTTGACGGAGCAAGTAAAATAAACAGAAGCAAGTATTGCAACATTACCGAGTAACTTAAAATAAAATATTTGTTTAGGGAGCGAGGCCTCCGTTTGGTTGCCGTCAGTGTACGTTCATGTGGCCACTGCACCGGCGGCTGCATGAACAGAGCGTACGCTTCCAATGCAGGAAGTAGCGAGTTCGATTCGCAGTGGCGACCACGACCCTATTAGTTTTTTTTTCTAAATGGGTAGAGAAATACACCGACCTGCTACTCAGTTGTTTCTCTGTACTCATGTCGAAAGTTAACCCCATAAGGTTCTGCGAAGGCGCCTCGGCATACCTTAACTCACCGCAGCCTTAGCAAAATAGTTGGTTATCTGCCGCTGCTGAGGCTGGCAGAAAATTGCTGCCGCTAAGCGTTTACTGTTAAATTAGGAAAAAGCGTGCTTCTTGTCTTGTGCTCAGAAAAAAAAAAGGCTGCCCACGACTTCCCACGGGAGAAACTCGAGTAAACGCGTCGCGATGGGTGGGGCTAACGCGTGAACGTTGCGGAATGGGGTATGGTTTGAGAAGGCCTAATTGTTAATTCGTCTTTATCATTGTTTTTTATTGAATGAAGGGGAAGCATTGCCTTCAACGAGTGGTGAGACGCTTGTGTTGGGTTGTGCCCCACTACTGGTTGAAGTTACTGTTGATTTCATCGCATCTACTCGAGTCCTACCAAGCGTCAAGTCAAGCAAAGGCCAAGTAAAGACGCCATTACAAGGAATTCCGAACACCCGCCCTGCCGCTTATATACACACACCCGCATTCGAGGGCGACGAAACGAGGCACGAAGCACGAGACTAGCCTAGCATGCGCAGTGGGCGTATGCACGGCGCTGCCGCCGCCAACACCAAAGTGTGACATTGCGTGACTAAGGAATGCTCCTGTGGTGCCATCGTCACCATCATGATTTCTTGATCACTGCGTCGCGCCTCTCGTGCAGCTGATGCTAGCTCGAGTGGCGCGAGGATGAGAACGAGCTTCTGGCCTGGCGGTTTGGACGCTGCAGCTACCACCCCTCAGCTTCGGCAATCGCCTTTGATAATAAAGTGGCGAGAGAACGACACCACCACGTTGGCCGCTGTCCCGTCTTCCTCTCTCGCTACACTCCGCATTTAAAACGAAGTTCATAGTTACTTGGGAGGACACCCACTTCGTGAGAAATTGGTGGCATGGCACCACCAGATCTAAAATTAGGGTCATGATCTTTTTAGTCTTTTTAAACAACGTTGCTGTGCAGGTTTGAGGTATGTATCCCATACGCAAAGCTCGGCGGCGATCTGCTTAGCCATGCATATTATTATGGCCTCTGAGATTGTGGACAAGCGTCTCCCAAGGAGGTTATATTAAAACTTGAAGATTTAGTATAACCTCCTTGGCGTCTCCACGCGCCCGCCATCTCGGAGGCAATGAGAGTATGAGGGCGCGATTCTCCTGGTTTTCAATTTGTATACATGCCCTGGGCGCATTCAGTTACGCAAAAATACAGCGAGTTGGGAAGTCATGGCGCTCTTCACCACGTCGACGCACCAAATCCACCAGCACATTCCCTGCGTAAAAAGGGACTAAGGGAACTAAATGTACAGCAACAAGAATTTTAAAGAAACTTGTTAAACGTGTTGAGATGTTTGAAAGCTGCTACATAGAATGTGTAATGGCCTACCAGGGTCGTCAGGTGGGCTGCCGCGTTATACCTAATTCCGGGGCTTATGCACGGTCTCAGAGATGTGCGTCCTAAAGCGGATCTCTGGGGCAGCATTCACTGTGGTAAAACACATACCATCTTTCTAATTTGTGTCGAGAGTGGCGGAGTCTGTGTGGCATCGAAATGACGTTCCCTAAGAAAGACTGGAGACAGGCGGCGCGCTGCTCAGCAGCTCTAGCCGATCAGTGGAGACCTAATAAAACATTTCAACAAAGAGGACGCCGTGAGAGTAGCGGCCTAGTATAGGGCCCCAGAACGAACATTAGCACCGCTGTAGCCACGAGGATGTGACAAAATGGCAAGTAGTCGCCTACCCTACCGTTACTTGTCGCGTTTATCTGCACCTGCCGTACGTGTACTCATTGTTTAGAGATGCGGTGGTGATTACTCTTCAATTTACCTCTGGTGAAGGTTATCCAACCTGTAGAAAGCTGTGAAATTCACCCAAGCTTTGAGATAGACGCACACCTGTCAGAACGAAAGAATTGCTGTGAAACTGGTAGTGTAGGACAGCAAGACGCTGGTCAGTTTCATCACGCACACCAAGAAACGGGTGCTACTGAAGTATTCCAGGTGATTATAATTAGGCAAGGACTCTGGGGCTAAGACATGCGGGCGCAAATATTTCCAGGTGAAATAAGGACGCTTTCAGTGAAGTAAATACAAGGCCGTTTACCATGCAAGTTACACCCGCATCTGAAAATAATCTGAATGATTTGACAGAATTTCACTTTCTCTCACAGGAGACTTTACTTGAATCTGAGTGGTCAACAGTCACATAACCCATACGGATAATACACAAAGTGTTACTGTCACACACACAATCATTTCTAAATTGTTCAGGTATGTCCATTTACTCGGATCATAATCACAGTTTTCTTCTCAAGATATGACGCAGTCGTATACCTTTGATTTGCGTGAAAAAAGGTGCGACACACCAAGTCACAAATGGAAATGTTTGCCTCATGTGACAGCACCGCTGATGAAGACAATTACAAAAGAAGCGTGAGAAAGTCGAAATGAACATTTCTGATGGCGCACTAAGCGAGATGGTCCAAGTAATCAAAATTCTTCCCTTCCATGAAGTGGCGAGTGTTATTACACGACATTTCCGCATACCTGCAATAAAGCGCATGAAAAATGATTGACGAGGCAGCTAACTATCTTAGTGTCTATGAGCGAATCAGCACAGTTGCTAGGATGCTGCGCGAAGACAGGTGGTCATAGCAATAATCGAGAATTCCCGCGTGTAACTTGCACGGAACTCAACATCCATAATTTCGGTGAACTGAAGCACCAAAATTATTGCGACAAGAACGTGTAAATAATGATTGTGGTGAGTTGGGCAGTGCATAAGAAAACTAACACAAAAGGTGCAGTGGTAGCTTTTCTGTGGATGACCGCATTCGGCATATCTTGCGAGACTCGATACTGCACAGGTGAGCCCGGGGCTTGGCAAGCCAGCAGAGGCGTTGTCCGCAGATACGTGGATGAGTCCCATAAAAATAACCGTAGTGGAAGGGAAAGCCCCGTTCCTATATAATAAGAGAATCGACCATGAACTACTCAACATAACAAAGTAAGTATGGTGTTTTGCGTCTTAAAATCACGGCATGATTCATGCGGCAATCTGTTTGCAGCATCGAAGCACAAGTCTGCTCCTGTTTCTCTCACTTGCCGGAATGCGACTGCCGTAGCCTGGAATGGAGCGCATAAGCGGGATTAGCAGCAAGACACAGACCTGTACAGCCCTTTCGTGTTGAGCTACAACCGAGCGTGAGCACCTTTGGGGATCGTACCGAAGCAAAAGTGAACTTCCTACTGCTTTTACTAGAGACATTTTTGATACGGTTTTGGTCATTCCTCTGCAGCTTGAAACAAGCAAACTTGCCCATGGAAAGTGGGGCTTCCTTCCGACAACCATAATTCTGCGACAGATGTACGACCCCCCCTCACGCCACTTTTTTTTTCATGGAGTACTTTCTTCTCCATGACTCATTAAGCTCGCCATGGCAGCCTTTATTCTCGCACACTTTTCCAGTTCCCTTCTCCTCCATCTTTTTTAGATTGGATTAGAGTCCGCTAGTCGAAACGTCAGCTCTAACAGTAACTCCCTGCTTATGAATCGCTCATCACAATCTTCAATTTTCCCCTTGCCTTTCTATTTATTTATACTTTACAAAGCTATGCACAGTACTACTTCCGTGCCTGGATAGGCTAGCGTTTCGTTACCCATTATTATTCAGTTTTGATTTTCTCTTGTACACTTCTGCGACCTCGTTGAAGAACCCCAGGTGGTCGAAATTTCCGGAGCCCTCCACTACGGCGTTCTCATAATCATATGGTGGTTTTGGGACGTTGAACCCCACAAATCAATCAAATCAATCAACACATCTGCGACCTAGAAGCCCGCTTATAAAGGCGCGTGAAAAAATATTCTTCAATGGTAGGGCTGATTCCTGACGTGTGGATCCACTTCACGGTTGAGGAGACCGGTGCCGTGAATTGGGGACTCGATGTCTGTTAGCACTGCAACAGCAGCTACGCCATTACCAATGCGACATCTTAACATGATAAAGAAAGCTACAGATGAAGCCAATGATACGAACTCTTAATATGAGCTTGATTTATTGACAGACATGTGGGGTTTAACATCTCAAAACCACCCGATGATTATGAGACACGCCATAAAGAAGGGCTCCGGAAAGTTCTGTCGCCTGGGGTTCTTTTACGTGCACCCAACTCTGAGAACACGTGTCTACACTATTTTCGCCTCCATCTAAAATCCCGCTGCTGCAGCCGGGATTCAATCCCGCGACTTTCGGGTCAGTAGCCGAGTACCTTATAGTGACTAGACCACCACGACGAGGCTTCAATATGAGCTTGAACTTCATCTTTTCACCATCTTGATCAATGCTTCCACAGACCAAGCTATGACGAAACAGACATTTCCGGGTTGTTTGTTCCAACGGCCGTAACAATTTTATCAAGCCACACCCATTCGAAAAGAGCTAAATGAGTTCACGGTGATGTTTCGGCTGCCTTCGATCTGGTAAATGCCGCAGTCTTTTGTGAAAAAAGAAAAGCATGGCACTTATGCTTTTACATAACGAAAGGTATTACTTTTGACACTTGGCAATAAACTATCATCATGTGAAAAAATATTGGGTTAAGCATAGAAAATTTCTTTTTTTCTATTCTTCCCGTAGTTTTGAAAAAAACGTGCAAGACACAGAATTTTTTCGATTGATGGATATATCACGAAATTTCGAATCTCTCGGTATAAGCCATATCAGAGACAACAACAAAGTAGACGCTGGTTCCCGATAATGAAAACTTCTGTTCAAACATGACGTACCCACGGCCAGCTGTAACGACTCCACTGTGAAAACTAGAAATGCGGGTATCTTTGTATTGTGACGACTTAATTTCTAATACAGAATTAGCTGGTATTCCGAAGTGGCGAAAACATTTTACTTCGACTGAGCTGGATTATTTATGTTAAAAACACAGATAATGTGACACATGCCTGATTATTGTAAGATACAGCATCATATGTGTCATAATGACCCACTAAGATTGGCAGTAATAAACCATCTTTTATGGATTGCATAGAGACATGAAGCCAAACTAGCATACTAAACGCGGAAACCTACTCACACTGCTTCTGTGATTTCAAAAGCCGATGAGTTCACGCGAACTGGTACCGCTGTCTGTTCATGGAGGTACCTAAAACGAGCACTGTGCCGAGAAAAATTACGCATCGAGCCAAACAGCAGAACATCTGCCAATGTTTCTAACAGCAGCTGGTCCTCCAAACATACGATACATTGCAAGAATACGTCTGATGTACGCTCTCACATCGCAAGGCCTAATGATTGATAGCGACAAATTTCACAAGTGCGCGAGCTAACACAGTCACGAGGAAAACTTTACGAAAATAAACATGCAAACTCAGTGCTTTCGGCGTGAAAGATGGTTAGGCAAAATGAAGTAAACAAGTTACGAGTAAATTCAACCTGATTTCATCTATCTGTAGCTGCTTCTAGCTTACCTGTTCAAAGCTGTGCAGCCCTGCTGTCGATTGAGTGCGGTCGTCCATGGTTTTAAGTCTGGCCATTCAATTTCACCATGCTGATGACTTAGCGTGTATGATAAATGCGCGCATATCTACCGGCAAGAGCAAACGAATGCGCTGCTTGGTCTTACTATAATAATATTGATAATCAATGAGGAAGATGGTGCCCAAGAGCTAAACTCAAACACACAGGAAGTTTCTGTAGTCCCAGACTGTCATAAAGTTAACCAAAGGGGACTTTGGCGCTGAAATCCCTCAGCGACCATGACATGTATAGGTAGTACACGCAACTTTGTAGTCTTCGTGCTTGCGCACTTCGAATGCACTTGTAGCGTTGTTTATTGCAGTATTTTGTTTTTGCTCTAAATAAGAGAACACGCCATTTTCATTCACGACCTGATTTGAAATGGTGCGCCTAGAATTCAAAGATGGTGAAGTACAACTGCTGAACATTTTGCTGATTCTTGTTTCGTGACAAAACAGGTCGCAGCCACGCGAAGCAAACGGAGCCACAAGTACGAAGATTAGGCATATTTATCATTCCCGTGCTTGCTGGGGCTTTATGCGTTGCAGCTTCCATATATACTTGCGCTATAGTTACCTCTAGTGTGTCTATATGAATCTATAAGCCTACCGTATTAGGTAGAAACACCCCTGCCAATGAACACGAACTGCAGCGTGACTCTATTCGCTGCAGTTGGCACATTAATTCTTTTCGGGACTTTGTTTATGTGATGTGAATTACCTCAAGGTAGTGCTTCTTATGTGGGCCAGATGAGGAGATGCTTTGCAGGCTGCGTGTGTTTCCAAGTACGTCCTGAATGCAACGGGATGTTAGCTATCATCAGACCTTGAAGAAATACAAGTGCACGTGGCGCAACAACCACTGACAGCAAGTAGTCTGGGAAAGATAGGCCACGTATCACTATCGCGGGGCGTCACACGATGCTGCAGTGATTCCCATGACCTCTCAAGAGTGTCCACAGCGGCATGCATTTCTTCAGTATAGCTCATCACGAGTTTGAGCTCAAGGGTTTTGGTTCGTACGAGTGAGCCATAGCGTAACCTGAGAAAATGTTTACTCTATTAGGGATGGAGGGTGGTCGGACGAATATCAGCCGGAGAGGAACAATCACAGGAGAACACTCTTAATAGGCAGAATTCACCAACAAATGTAAACAAGGTACATTGTTCATTTAGAAGCGTGCGTGTAATAAAGAAAGGTGGACGAATTTTTCTTTCCAGCGTGCTGGTGCGGCTCAAGAAACAAGTTTTATTAAAGTTTGTCATCAGCAGAAAACACAAACTCCTGAACAGTTTGAAGTGCCGAAGGTGTGTGCACTGGTGGCGCACACGCATAGGAAGTCGGGTTATCGCGAAATGCAGCTCAAGCGATCTTACATAGGATAGTTTTCATATTATGTAAACTGTTATAAAAGCTGTTAAACCGGACGTCTAGTGGCGATGGCCAAAAAAGTTAGGAGCCTATCTCTAATTGAGGAAGGGGGCCAAGCAATGATCGGCGTCAACGTTTCACGTGTAGTGCGTTGTGTTCATTTGTTTATTTATTTTATTTATTTGTAGAATACTGCTAGCCGTAGTAGGCTTCAAGCAGGAGTGAGGATACAATAGTGAAGGAATGCATGCTGACTAAGAAAAAAAAAGGCAATAACGACGTGCTACCCACTGAGTGCATTTCTACAGCAATAGAATCAGCACATTGATAATCATAATCTGTCTTTTCTGTTTTTCGTTCTTTTTTATTCTCTAATCTCCGTGTTTCCGTTTTGTCCGATTGATTTCTGATTTTATTCTTAGAGATGATGCCCGGAACGCTGTTTTTTTTATTCGTATGGAATCGGCATAAATTTTTTTCATGATGATTTCAAGGTTTTCAGCATATAGACCATGGTTCTCAACTGTTGGGTAGTTATCCTACGCGCGAGGCATGTTCGGAATTTTTCGGCCAGCCTGACGTAGTAGGGCGGTAAAGCGATATTTCTAAGACGTAGCGAAATGTTTTGTCGCTCTTCAACGACCAGCGAAAATTGTTAGGAATCCTTGCGACATATCCGAAGATAACATTTCTAAAGAAAAACATAAATAACATTTTTCTTTAAAAATTGTGGAAATGTCTTAATGCACATGTCCTGACAGACTACAAATATTATGTAACACAACCATGTGCTACCATTTCTTACAGCGAAAGCTGTTATGAGATCATGGCTTGGGTCACGCGGGCGCCGTGGCTGTCAGCCGCCGATGTCCGCAACCATACCGCACGAAATTAGAAAAAAAAACTAGTACCCACGATACTGTAGGGCTCGAACCCGGGTCTGCTGCATTTCCAGCTCAGTATTCTAAGGCTGAGCCACGCCGGTTTTTTTTTATTTCCGGTGAACTTCACAAATGGGTTGCTAAGATAAATATATTACAATTTACAACGAACAATACGAAAAACTTAAAATTAACTAAGCCCGTCAGGCATTACTATAACACATCACGTCCTAGAATTCCTTCATTGTCAATAGGGATTCTACCTTTTCTACCCATAAAGGTACACATTCGTCTGTTCTTACTAGGGTGCCTTGATGCCCGCGCGCTCCGCTCTTGAAGCTCGGCAGCAGTCAGGCGCCGTCAGATTTCCGTACTCGCTCGCCGGCACGCGGCCTGAACTATCTCCCCGTTTTCTGCCCTTGCATATAATTTTCTCCCTCCTCCACTTTCTAAATTCTCATCTGTTTAACTACACCTCCTGCGTCCCCATCTTTTGCCTACTTTTCGTTCAGCTCAACTCCGCCAGCACCCGGTCGACGCGTACGCTGTCGGGGCGAGTTGGCGAGTGAGTACGGCAATTTCACGAAGTCTGTCTTCGGGCCACGAGGCGGACGGTCACGACAGCGGCAGCCGGTCTCGCGGGCACAATAGCTGCGAAGCGCAGTGCACGAAATTAGCAGCCTCGGGTAGGGGGTGGGAAGGATTTCACAACGCTGCTGCCAAGGCAACACTTTTCCGTGCAAGGGCACAGAAACTAGTCGCAATTCCAATGAATGTAGTAGCACACTCGAGGCCCTTGAATCAGCATGAAATGTTATCGACACGGGGGCTTCCGAAGCCCCCGTGCTTGACGCATTTTCTTAAAGCGTGGTCTTTTAACACGAGCACGCCACACAGTACCCTGCACGACGTTTGGCTGTCCTGCGTTTACATTGCGCACCTAAATAAAAAAACAACGGCGCCCTAAATAATGCTGACCAGTCAGAATACGACACAATAAAGAAAAATGTTTACTTACGCTGCATACGTGCGACGTATTAGTCGGTTGCCACTTGTCTTGTTTGATTTTAACGGTCCAAAGAAGCCTTCTTTTGGGGTCTCTTGGAAACCGGTACAACTTCCATCTGTTTATCGAGTGATTCGAGCACTGCGGCACGCAGCAGCCGGGCATGGTGATGCGGAGATAGGTGCATGAAACTGGAAGGGAATGAACACTGCCCAACAACATCTCTCACGCCAAGCACGAACTACCGGCCGGAGGCGCCAAAATGGCGGTCGCGCTGGCGCCGAAGCCGAGGCGGCGGCATCTGCCCTTGCAAAAGCTGACACCACTCTAAGCGGGGGCGCGCGCATCGAGGCACTCTAGTTCTTACTACCTCAAGTAATCTTGAGATGCTTTCTTTAAAATACTCTCTTGCTGGTCTTCTGTCTGGGTTACAATGAAATCCAGCCATTCTAGAGCGCCATATACTGTGCAAGGCAGTCATCATGATAAAATCGAAAGGTAATCCATCCTCATTCTCTATTGCCAAATACCTGATCCCATGAGGGTCTAACGAGAACTCTTGTTGATTGTCCTTTGTAATACGTCCAAAAAAGTAAACTGCTTCCCAACAGTGCAGCAAAACATGGTCAATAGTTTCCGGTTTCTTACAGATTAGACAGTGAGATCCCCAAGGCATATAGAACCCACGCTCCTCTAGGAAGGTTCTTACAGGAAGTGATCTAGTGTGTAATTTGAAAAAGAACGTTTTCGCACTTGGAGCAGCTGGCATTTTTTAACTCGTTTAAGTACATTCTGACCCTTGCGTGCTGTATATAGCGCTCTGTACAGTGGAATGGGGAGCATCGTGTCACGTAAATCTTTGTACAGTTTTTTTCTTTCCAACAGACCACCGGTAGTCAGATGAAAAACGAACACACAAAAACCGCACGCTGGTTACAACTTCCTTCATGTATCTTTGCACAGCCCTTGTGGTTACATGGGTGCTCACAACAAACTCGGGCAACAGTCTACTTAGTCTTGTTTGACACACTGTAAGTAGAAAATGATCTCTTGTCTCACGAAAAAAGAAAAAAAACTATTTACTAACTGCTTGATAAACTGATGTCCTAGCCCAAGGCCTCCACACTTCATCCGTCTAAACAAATTCGTGCGACTGCACCTTTCCCAGTTGGACCCCCACACAAATATTGCAAACACCCGATGTAATTTTTGCACATTGACCCGGGAAAAGTACAGCACTTGCATCACATACCACAGCTTAGACACATAAAACCAGTTGCATGCAGTAGCCCTAGCAAACATGGACAGATAAGTTGCATTCCACTTATTCGCTTTCTCTTTAATTTCTTTCGTTTGCAGTGTCCAATATTCATCAGTACTTTTGTATGACTCAAGCGGTACTCCGAGATATTTAACTGGCGTTCTTGTCCATTTAATGGCTGCAAAAAATTCTGGTGTTGAAGGCCAATATCCATGCCAGAAGCCGAGGCATTTACCCCAGTTTATGACGCTTCCTGTAACTTCTGCGAAAGGTTTAGAAACTCTGATTGATTCTTCAATACCTTCATAGGAAGTGCTACAAATCGCAACATCATCAGCGTATGCGAGTAGTTTGACCTCTGAAGATTGTACTCTAAACCCATTAATGATGTCATTCTGCAATATCAACCGACATAAAGTTTCAATAAAGATGCAAAACAACAGTGGACTAACAGGGCAACCTTGACGCACTGAGCGCTCAATTCTAATGGGGGGGGGCCCAATGTCTTGTTGATAATTAGTCTCGTACTACCATTCCGATATGCCATGTCTACTCCGTCAATAATTATCTTACCAACATTAATCTCCTTCAATACTGCAAACAAAAGAGCGTGGGCAACGCAATCAAACGCTTTCTCCAGATCCAGATAAAGTATGGCCACACGAGCTTGACTGGTGTCAACACATTCGAGCACGGATCGCATTTTATGAACGTTTGTAGCTATGGACCGACCTTTGATTCCACACGTTTGGTGTGGACCGACGATATCTTTTATTACTGACTGAAGTCTAGCCGGTAAAATTTTCATTATTATTTTGTAGTCTACGTTTGTCAGTGCGATTGGCCTGTACGCTGTGACGTGCCTGAGCTTTTCAACTTTGACTGTTTTCGGAATCAGAATGGTACGTGATTCACCAAAGGATGGTGGTAATTTCTTTTCTTGATATGCCTCATTAAAACGCCCGCAAGTATTGAAGACAATTCACTTTTAAAACATTTGTACCACTTGGCACAAGGACCATCTGGTCCAGGAGATTTCCCGGGATTTACCTCATCAATCGCCCGTTCAACTTCAGATGCAGATATAGATAATTCCAAAATGCTTTTCACTTCCTCACTCACTTGCGGCATGCGTCCTAAATATTCTTCGTTAAATCTTTTTAGGTTTACCTGTCTACACGCAAAAAGGTTTTCGATATGACTTGAAAATACGAATTAAATGCTGTCCGTATCGGTTACTTCGTGACCTTCCTTCTCTATTATTTCGATATGATTCCGTCGAGCGTTCGTTTTCTCCACCCCTAACGGTCTTTTGGTTGGCATC